TCAGGATCTCTGAATGTTTAACAAGAAGAGGCCTGCGTGCCTTTGGGTTGTTGGTGTTACTGTTACTAGAAGAATAAAGAGTTGTTAACGAAAGCATGTGTATTCATCATTCGCCCTTGAACGAAGGACTTAACACTGACCATTTGGAGAATGCTGTAAAGCACTATGAAGTGGTATATAAGTCTAAGTGTTATTTCTATTGCTTAAAGTTGCCAAGGTTGGACACCCCTACTATAATCTCTTCTCCAAATCCCTTCTTAATGGTTTGTTCCTTCTCCCACTTAACCCCCACTTAACAGCTCTTTCATACTTTCCCCATGGTCAGATCTCACTTCCTTTATGGTTGCTGATAACTTCCAGAAAAAAAATGAGAGCTTTAAATGTTTCCTTCTGGAAATTTAATTTCCTAATATAATTTAATGTTTTATTTAGTTTTCTTTTCTTTTTACAAATATACAACAATATGCACCTTAGCTAAGGTACTCAAAACTTTGGTTCCTGCTATCAAAATGATGACGGCAGCACTACAAGGTTGTGATACAAGCTCCATGTGTATGTCTGTGTATAATAGAATGGATGTTGAAATGGTGCAGAGCATACTCTGCAACACTGATTGTGCTTTTTTGCCCCATGGATGCTGAAATGGTGCAAAACACACACCACAATGCTGACTGTGCCCTGTTGTAGCTCTATTTCAGTGGTGGCAAACCTATGGCACGGGTGCCAGAGGCGGCACTCAGAGCCCTCTCTGTGGGCACGCACGCCGTCGCTCCAGTCCTAGGCCTTCAGCTGGGTTTTATAAAACCTTTTTGCTTTAGGCCTCCACCGCCATGTGCAAAAAAAAATCAGTCAATTTCAACTTCTCATGGGAAAAAAAAGATCTTGCAAAGTTGAAATTGATTGATTGAACTTTTTAGTCCCACCCAGTCTGCTGTTACCACTGCAGCCACGCCCACCCAATTGGTCACGTCCACCCAATGGGCCACACGCCACCTGGCACTTGATGATGCATAAGTGGGTTTTGGGTTGCAGTTTGGGCACTCGGTCTCTAAAAGGTTCGCCATCACTGCTGCATTTTAAAACCAATGACATATTAAACCCAGCATTGATACTAGAGCCCAACTTCAAGCAGTCCTCATTTAGTGACCACACAACTGGGACTGGCAACTCAGTCTTTAAGTGGCTGCTAAGTGTGTTTGTCATCTTCCTTCAGCTTTCCTTTGCTTTACAGACTTGCAAAGGTCATAAATTCAAGGAACGGTATGCAAAGCTACTTTTTCATCATTATTGTAACTGCAAACAACCGCTCAATAAGGCAGTTGCTGAACGAGGACTTACTGTACAGCAGGGGTCTTCAAACTTGGCTCTTTTATGACTTGTGGACTTCAACTCCCAGAATTCCTCAGCCAGCGTGCCTGGCTGAGGAATTCTGGAAGTTGAAGTCCACAAGTCATAAAAGGGACATGTTTGAAGACCCCTGCTGTACATCAACAAATCTTAACTGTCGGAAGGAAAAACATCTGATCCCTGACATAATGGAGACCCAGAAGATTTGAAATCAGCATTTCAGGATGAGGCAGTCAGCAGAGACAACTGTTTTGACTTAAGAAACCTGGAAATGACCTTAACATGTCCAAAGGCAGAGATGTGTGACTTATTTTGAGACAAGGGGCATGTTTGATCTCTAGATGACAGCACAGCAGATTTATACTTTTCAGAAGCCAGAGTTGCCAGACCAAAGAAACAGTCAAGGTCAAGACAAAAAAAGAACAATACATCTGGTTCTATTTGCATTAAATTTAATTACGATTGAACAAATTGGCTCACCCTGTTGGTGTGTCAAGAGAAGGATTTTCTGCATGTTCAGCTCCAGCAGGAAGAAAAATTGACGATCTGTTTTATTGTAGAGTTAGTTTGCTTGTATATGTATAGATCATTTTCTGTTTGCATGCAGAGCAATAAAGTAGACACACAGGAACTCTGTCTTATTATGAATTGGGTTTTCCACATTTGGAGCCAAAAAGAAAATAGTCATATTTCAATTCAATTTAAACCAGAAATGTTAGTGAATGAAATAACTGTCTCTTACTAGGAGAGGGCGCTATTTGCATGCAATTTGTTGCATTGAGAGACTATTATTAGGAGATTGAAAAAGTCAATTGGCTGCTATACTGAATGAGTTTTACCTACAAATATCCTTCTAGATTCTGTCACCCTCTTGTTTTTCTGTGTTTGCATCTACACATTTTTTTGCAGTTGATGTATTTAGTAGAAACCCCAAAGTGACAGAGGGCTCTGCTACTTTGAAATGAGATTGGGGGAACATTCTCCCTGTAGAAATTAGAAATCTTGGCTTTTCATAAGACCCTTATAAACCTGGTTCTGCACCTGGGCTTGTGTGTGTGAAGGGTCCATTCTCTTGGTTGTGCTAACAACCACTGATTAGGACAGTGTCCTTGGCTGCTGTGCTTTTCATTTTTATATTTATGATAGAAAATGGCTTATTTTAAGATTGTTCACCACCCAGAGTCACTTGCTGAGATGGGGAGCCATACAAATTGAATGAATAAATGAAAATAAATTTTAAAGTGATTTTGTTGTTTGATATCCAAAATGGAAACCTTTTTTTCCACCTTGAAGCTTGAGAATAAGATTTTCAGGACTTAGCACTTTCAGAATTGGGATGGGGAGGGTGCTGATCAGTACAAAATCAGCTGGGAATTTCTATCCATTTCCTTCATGAGCTTAGAAAGTCGTTGCTTGATGGAGTCTGGGTTATATTATACTGTGAATACTTAAGGGGAAATGAGCTATTAACTAAAAGGATGAGGCTGAATCTAAGAGCGCTTTAGGAATTAATTGGGTTATATATCAGGGTGGGAAGCATGCAAAGAACACATACCCTATGCTGAATTAGCAAAGGAAGGAATAATGCACTGACAGCAAGCTTTGAAGCAGCTGCCACAAGATGGTTTAGGTTAGCTGGCTTTGAACACAAAAGGGTGTGAATTTTTCTTATCTAATCCACTGAATAGATTTTTGCTCTGCCCTCTCTAGCATATTAAAACATGGGAACCAACAAAGGTTGGTTAGGAGAATCACAGATTTTATGATGCCTCTTTTTTTTAAACATAATTTCTGCTTCCTGCATACATTTCATTAGTTCAAGAATTTAAAAACCAACCATATGAGGTAGCTAAGCCAGCATATTGTAAATAAAATCTGCATTTTAAAATGTAAGGTCGAGGGGGAGGAAATAAGCTATTTTCTCTTTTAGAAATCAGTGAAGCCCCTGCAAAAAATATTAAGATATGCATAGCATCTTTTTTCATGCATGAATAGTCATTGTGCTAATGCGCCACAAATCTTATAACCTTCCTGCCCTTTTCTATGTTGGATCCTGAGTACGTGTGATTTATGATTTGATCAAGAAAAGAAGGAAAGGGGATAAAAGAAAAACAACCAATGTTTATAGGCCTTAAACAATTAAACATTGGGGCAATGGGGGAGATTAAAAAAATATCAAGACTGGAGAAATTGATTTAATGTATTATTCCTTTTTTTTGCTTTAAAATAAAGCTGTGTTTTAATAAAGCACATTGCAAGGCAGAAATATTCTACCTTGACACCTTTAAGACTTGGGAAGTTGAAGTCCACAGATCTTAAAGTTGCCAAGGTTGAACAGCCCTGCTTTAGGACTTCCTGAAGCTTAGCAGCTTTATTTTCGTTCTAAGGGTCCCCACAGTTGAAGAAGCAAAAAGTCAGATTCCTGCTGACCAAGTGATTTTTATCTCTGATTTTTCAGCTCCTTCCTTCTCTATTAGTCAGTTAGCATGATAAAAGTGAATCAATGCTCAAGTTACATTAAACTTTGTTAGTGAAATAATCATCCTAAGGTTATCCTAAGATTGCTGTTAACTCTTTCTCACATAAGGATCAGAATAATCTGATTGCACCAGCATCTAATTCTTGATGAGAGGAAATGTGTTTACTAGGTTATGCACAGGATGTTTTGAATTAATCTGTGAGAAGATTGTACCATAAGTCAGATTTCTAGTGAGCAGTCCTTGGTGTTCTCTGAGCTTGCTTGTTTTCTTGCAGATGTTTCATTACCTAAACTAGTAACATCAGTGCTGATTATGTTAGTTAGGGTAATGAAACATCTGCACAAAAACAACCAAGCTCAGAGAGCACCAAGGACCTCTCATTTCAGCTCTGAGCTACAAATATCCCTCTTCAGATTTCTAATTTTTTTCCTTGGTCTTATATCAGTATTGAGCTTATTAGAATGATTCTTTTCCCATATATGGTATAACAGACCAGCGTTGGACAACGTGGGAATTGTACGCCAACCCAACCTTGTCTAAAAGGACAAGTTCTCACATTTTGTAAAATGCCCTTTCTGCATGCATCACACACTACTTGTGCATGATAGTGCTGAAACCCCCCTAGGACAGGTGTGGACAAGCTTTTGATGTTGGGTGTCAGGCATGAAGAATCAGGACCACACATTAAATACTACAGTAGTGGCCAAAATTGTGGAAACCTTTTGGGAAAAGTATATTTTTGAGGTTTGATGGCTAATAACACTTTTTTTTGAGTAGTACCATAAAATTATATATCAATGGAAAGATAATCAAGAATGTAATGTAATATAGTTTGTTCAATTATTTGTACTGTATTCTATGAAAGGTTATAGCCAAATAACCAGAAAAAGGAAGCACAACTTGCTTAGGTTGATATCAGGTATCAGTGTGTTATCGCTATCAAGTTGGTTGGGGTTTTTTTGTTTTCTTTCATTTAGTGAACTTGTAAAACGTAATAAAATTAAAGTAATGGTGCAAAAAGTTGACTGCTTGTCCAGAAAGCGATGTAAAATAATATTATTAAGTGAACAAGGCTATAGTTATAAAGAAATTAGAAGAAAAATTGGTGGAAACTTAACCAAAGGTGGTATTTCTACTGTACACTTTTCCCAAAAGGTTTCCACAATTTTGGCCACTATGGTAGTTAAGCTGATTTATTGCTCATGTCTGTACACAAGAATCTAGTCAACTAAAGCTCAGCACTAAACTGGCACTAGATAAGAGGTAATGGAATTAAAAAAGGGTTGAACTTAAGACTGCTTATAGGAACTAAAGGACTCCAGACTGATTCCTCTCTTGACTCTGCCCCCAGGCTCTGCCTCTCCTTGTATATCAGGAACCCCACTGGGGAGGGTAAGAAGTGCAGTAGGTAAAGTGAAGATGCTTCATGGTTAGTGCCAAGAAGATTAAAAGCAAGACAACCTAACACAATTGTTTGAGCACATGGAGAAAAGTTAGTCACAGAGTCAATAACAGCTATGGAAAAAATGATGCATTTTGGCTTTTCAATCTTTATTGGCATTGCTAATGTTTGTTATTGAGTTATCTTTACTTTTTTCAACCAACCAAAAAAAAAAAAAAACAACCACAAGACCCTTTCTTAGATTCTGATCATCAGTTATACCTGCCTATTTGGGATTAATCAGCATACATTTGAAACTATCTTCTATCTAACTCCTTTTGTGTACTGGCAGAATAACCAACTAGTACAATGGCATGCCTCCTTGTGATCACTTAAGAAAAGTAAATATCTATAAGGAAGAAATGTCCAATTATATGTATTGTATTAAAGAGGCTCAGCATTTCAAAAGTTGAATTTATGTCTTGAATGTGCTGACTTTTTAAAATATGTGCTAAGTATCAACCTGAGGATTTAAATAAAGTGTCAAACTGCGGGCCCGTGGGCCGGATGTGTCATGTGGAAGCCGTGCCCACCCCATTGCTGGCAATGGCAAAACCGTCATGCGACATTACGTGATGTCCTGAGTTTGACATGCCTGAAATAAAGGATTACAAAACAATTATACTTGGGAACTCTGCACATGTTTAAAGATACTCCTATTTAATAACAAACTATTCTATTTTCTAGTCACTGTCCCTAATAAATAGTGACTCTGTGGCAGCAAAGGAATACACTGATATTGACCAAATGTTACAATTACATACCAATCCATTACCTTCTTGCAATAAAAAGTATTTATTCAATTTCTATAGCTGCCTACTTCGATCAATGACTTTGGGCAGCATACAATTCAAAAAAATATATTATAATTAAAAATGCTGAAAGATTAAAACAATAAAAACACATAACATCCAGATGAAATGTACGTTGGAGTAAGATATTTGGCCAATTAGCAATACAACTAGGAAACGGGGCCCTTAACACATTATGTTACCTCCTTTCTATATAATTGTCTAAACAATAATGCACTGCCTTTGTTACTTTTGTTCTATAACTGTCTTTCACATAGTCTAAATAATTGGAAAAAACATTTCCTCGACTTTGCCTACTTGAGGCAATTGGTTTTTAAACAGTAAGCTTACACACCTGAGCAATACAATTCTTGTTGTTTTAACCCCTTTCCCTGGGCCTCTGGAAGTGAATATTTTAAGATTACTACATCAGATTTGTCTGCTCTGACTGATGTTGTCTCTCCTGATGATCAGCAGCCTTCAAGATCTTTAGGTGTTTTCTTTGCTGTAAATCACTCCTCACTCCTTGCTCAAGAGTGTTAGTGGGGCCTTTCATGTGTTGCCCAAAACAGAGGAAAGGCATAATAAAATAAGGAATCATAAACATATCTACAGGCAATTTTCATATATGTCAATTTATAAATAATACCATTGAAACCAGGGGTAAACCAGCTCACCTTTGACCCAACCCCACTTTTTGTTCTCTCTGACCACATGGGCTGAAAATTAGGGCACTTTTTCACATCGTCTTAAGACAGGAAGTTCCCCAAATCCACAATCAAAGCGTTACTCGAGCTGGAATCAGCCAGCAACAGCAGCAGTAACGTTAAGCCAACCAGGTTCGCTCAGTGGCCGGGTTTATATATTGAATTTAAGCCCGGGGGAACCAAGCGACCGTGCGTTCACACGTCTAGGATGCCCACCCAACTAAGCCGCGCTGCGGCTTCTGGAGGCCGGGTTGAGCAAGGGCGGCGTTTCCAGCAGAGGCCGAGCCACGAGCACCCTCTCCGCGGCTGCGGCTCAGCCAAACTCCGATCGCCCGTCCCGGCCGAATTGTGCGCGACTCCGGGGCCCGCGGCGGCCCGCTCCCCGCAGGAGTCCCTCCGGCGCCCGTCGAAGCCCGCCTGCGCGCCGCTCCCCGGAAGGCCGGCCGAGAGTCCGGCCGGGGCTCCCGCCTCCTTTGGCGGGCGGAAGGCGTCTCGGGGGCTCGCGTCCAGGGAGCGAGGCGTCGCGGCCGTTGCCTCCGCCTCCTGACGTCAAGCCCGCCCGCAGGGGCTCCGGCTTTCTCGGCTTCTCGCCGCCTCTCATTGTCAGCAGGAGAAGCCCAGCTCGCCAGCCAGTCAGCCAGCCAGTCCGCGGGGCCGGATCAGCAGCTCCGAGCGGGCCGCCGCCGCGGAGTGGGCGCCCCCCGGCAGCCGGGGCGGGCGGCTCCTGCCGGGCCTTTTACGAGAAAAGCGGGGAAAGGCGGAGAAGACGAAGGCGAAGAAAGTCTGGGGCGCCCTGGGCTCCTGTGCGCCGCGCCGAAGAGAAGGTAGTGGCGGCGGCAGCGCCGAGGAGGAGGACCGGTAAAGCGTGGGCTGGGGGCCGGCGTGGACATCAGGTGGGCTGGGGCAGCGGCGGCGAGGGGCTGTCTCCTCCTCCTCCTCCTGACCGATCCGGGCTTCCGAGCGCTGCCAAACCCGTGCTGGGCTGAGAAGGAATTCAAGGCATCCGCTTTGTTCAGCGGATAACTCCGGAGCAAAAACAGCAAAAGCCGGGGGTCCCCGCACACTTCCCGACTGGCAGCGGCTTTGGAGGCGAAGGAAAGCAGGAAGGGAGGGAGGGAGGGAGCAGGGCAGGCAGGAGCTCGGGAGAGGCTGCCGGCCCCGCGCTTGCAACTTCCCGAAGCCATCCCAAGTTTTCTTCCCGCTCGGACGCGGCGCGGCCAGGCCCCTTCCTGCCGAGGAGACGTGGAAGGAGGGGGGGCTGCCTTCGCTGGGACGGCTGAGCGCCCGACCCGAGGGGTCCCCCTGGGAAGGCAGCAGTGCTGCAGGCGGGGCGCTCCCTCCAAGAGAGGGGCGAGCGCGGCCCTTTTGCAGCCTGATCCCGAGTAGGCTTGCCCGGGAAGCGGGACTGGAAAAGGAAAGGGTGCGTTTCCGAAGCGCGTTGGCGTCCAAGTCAGGCCCCTCCGTGGCGGGAGATCGGACTGGAGATTGCGGCTAGCCAGCCAGCCAGTCCAAGGTCATCTCAGGAATTGCGGGGAGGGGGGGTCCAGAAGTATCGGCGGGACTACCATACGGTTTACCTGGGGCGGGCGGGGGCGGGGGCTTTCGCGAACTGGATAGGGTTTTCTTTGGCAGGCTGGGTTTGCTGAGGCTGTTTCCCGCAGTGGTTGAGCGTGATCCCATTGCAGTTGAAAGGATACTTCTTTTTTCCAGAACTGCGCCTTGGAGAGGCTTCTGCGACACCCGAATATTTCTTTTTAAATGCAAATCCTGCCCTGATTTCCTGGGAGAAAGTATTACTTGTAATGTAATTATTTCTATGGGACTGTTAAACATTACTGCCGGAGAAAGTGGTAAATTATGAGGTGGTGTGCTGGTTGCTCCTCTTTTTTCCTCCTAACAGCAGTTCCTTTGGAAAACAGGGACAGGTGGAAATTCAACTGATGTAGTGTCTGCCTCTTGCAGAAAGGGCATCGATTGAATGTCTGCCTCTTAGCTGACTTTTATGGAGTGTTTAAAAGAGCAGGAGGCCTTCCAAGCTGCATCTTAGAATTGGGAATAAGTATGGATGCAGTTTGGATGAGCGTGACTGAAGATTTCTTAGCTTCCAGTTTGGTATTTGGAACTACAATTCAGGCTGCCTGGACTATTAAAGTGTGGGGAAATGAGTTCATCTTCATTGCTGAGTATAGTTTACTGTCTGACAGCTTTTTTTCTTTAAATGTGGCTTCTCTTTCTGCAGTATTCTGGTGCAGCATTTTATTATCTTTCAAGCCTTTTTATGAGCAGCACCTAGCACATGGCTTTTTTCTTCATGGCAGCCTCTGTAAGGCAGGAGACCGAAACGCCCACCTCCTTATAGCGCAGCTAGATCATGGCTATATCCTGACTTTGCTCCCTCCTAACATGGAGCTGTTAACCATGTTTTAAAGACACAGAGTTTGTGTTCATTCTAGCTTCATACAAAGCTAGAAACAGGCAAATTTCACATTGTATTGTGAACTTTACTTGTATCATATCAAGGGCTTCATAGTCAAGCAGGTCTTAAACCCAAGATTCATGGGTTTTAGCTGCAGTGAGTGTTAAATCCTTGGCTGTTTCCCAGGACATTGGTAGGAATGTAGTTGATTGAAGCTGTAGGTGGCCCTCCCTTCCTGCAGATTTTTCAGAAAGGACAGGTGGAAGCAGTCACTACTACAACATCTCCATCTCTCTCTCTCTCTCTCTCTCTCCTTATTAGTATAGAAAAACTCTGGGCAGGCAGTTGGACTAGAAGACCTCCAAGATCCCTTCCAACCTTATAATTCTGTGACTAATATGGACAAGGCTAATAAGAGCCAATGTAGTGTACAGGTAGTCCTTGACTTACAACCATTTGAAGTTACTGCACTGAAAAAAGTGACATATGACTTTTTTCACAGTAATGACCATTGCAGACCCCCATGGTCACGTGATCAAAATTCGGATGCTTGGCAACTGGCATATATTTATGTCCCAGGGTCATGTGATCACCTTTTGCGACCTGACAAGCAAGGTCAATGTGGAAGTCAGATTCACTTAACAACCGTGTTACTAGCTTAACAAATGCAGTGATTTACTTAACTGTGGCAAGGAAGGTTGTAAAATGGGGCAAAACTCACTTAACAACTGTCTTGCTTAGCAACAGATTTTGGGTTCAATTTGTGGTCATAAGTCAAGGACTGCCTGTAACAAATCAGATGTTCAAGTAGCAGAGATTGGAGTTCTAGTTCCTCCTCAGCCACAGAATCTGTCTGAGGGACCTACGCCAGTAATTCATTCATTCATTCAGCTCAACCTACTTCACAATGTTGTTGTAGAGAAAATTGATGGTAGCACAGTATAATATAATTTGCTTTGAAAAAGCCAGACTGATATATATTGAATAAAGCCTTGGACTAAGACCAGAGTAAGAGTAGATTCAAGTCTACCCTCAGCCATGGAAGCTGAATGGCAGACTTTGGACAAGTCCCTTACTCTCTCAGCCCTACCTGTTCTTTTTGGGAAAATTGGAGAAAAAAGATGTCCGGCTTGAGTTTCTGGAGAAAAGGGGGGATGGGAATGTTACCTTCCATGAAATAAATACAGGCAGTTCTTGACTTACAACCACAGTTGAGCCCAAAATTTCTGTTAAGTGAGACATTTGTTAAGTGATTTTTGCCTCATTTTACAACCTTTCCTGCTGCAGTTGTTAAGTGAATCACTGCAGTTGATAAGGTAGTCAACCTGGTTGTTAAGTGAATCTGGTTTCCCCATTGACTTTGCTCATCAGAAGGTCACAGTAGGTGAGCACATGTCCCTGGGACATAGCTATGGTCATAAATACAAGCCAGTTGCCAAGCATCTGAATTTTGATCACGTGATCATGGGGATGTTGCAAAGGTCGTAAGTGAAAAACAGTCATAAGCCGCATTTTTCAGTGCCGTTGCAACTTTGACCGGTCACTAAACAGATGGTCATAAGTCAAGGACTACCTGTATGGAGTGAGTGGAAATTGATGCAAGGGGATGGGAAAGTATTTGCTGCCTTTTACATTGGATGCTGTTGGCATAATAGGAGAAAACATGTCTGTCTCAGTGTCAGTTTGCCTCTTTTTTGGTTAATTAAAATAGTGGTGTAAATCTTTAGGCTGCCCATGTGTGTTGTGTGGGGAATCCACCCAGGTGGAGCGGGGAATTTTTAAATTCCATAACAAGCTGAGAATTCCTCGGCCTCCAAAAGACTTTATATTACTCAGTCAGCCTCCCCCTCACCCCCCTGGGTAGAAATACTTTTGCTCAATTTACTCTGAGGAATTTTTCAGCATTTTCCCCTCCTTCCTCTCCCCCCTCCCCTTCTCCCTAAAGTGAAACCATCCTTGCGCTGAAAGGCAGGGCTTGGTGTGAATCTCTGCTTGTTTATTGCCTTGTAAGTCCATTTTTGTCCATTTGAGCTGACAAGAGGGTGAGTCTGTTTTTTTGTGGGAGGGAGGGGGAGTGGAGGGAGCCAGGCCCGTTAGGTTTCTGAGGAAACATGGCATTTGTTTTCACTAAAGATCTCTGGAATTTAGCACTTTTGGCTGTGGCCCTCCTATTGTCTGGAAGAAAACCCAGGGAAGGGTTTCGGCTTTCCGTCATGATTAATTGTGTTTGCTTGTGCCACAGTGTGAAAGCCTGAGTGTGTGGGATAGCAAGGGTGCCTTTCCCTAGAAAAATAACACTTCTGTTGGTGGACTCCTGGTTCAGTTTGGAAGATACAGGTAGTCCTTGACTTAAAATCACAATGGAGACCAACATTTCTGTTATTAAGCAAGGTGGTTGTTAAGTGACTCACACTCAATTTAACAACCTTTTTTGGCATGGTTGTTAAGAGAATCACTGCAATTGTTGAATAAATCATATGGTCTTTAAGCAAATCTAGCTTTCCTTATTGACTTGGCTCAAAAACAGTAACTGCGAGAGGGACCTTGGAGTCCTAGTTGGACAATCACTTGAATATGAGCCAGCCATGTGCAGCAGCATCCAAAAAAGCTAACACAACACAGAGGCATAGAATCAAAATCACATGAAGTATTAGTACTGCTTTATAAAGCCTTACCAAGGCCACACTTGAAATACTGCATCCAGTTTTGGTCGCCACATTACAAAAAAGATGTTGAGACTATGGAAAAATTACAAAGAAGAGCAACTAAGATGATTAAAGGCCTGGAGACTAAAACATATGAAGAAGGGTTGCAGGATTTGGGTTTGGCTAGTCTAGAGTAAAGAAGGACTGGGGTGACATGATAGCAGTACAGTATTCCAGTATTTGAGAGGTTGCCACAAAGAGGAGGGAGGGGGTCAGCTTATTTATCAAAGCACCTGTAGGCAGGACAAGAAGCAATGGATGGAAACTAATCAAGGAGAGAAGCAACCTGTAACTAAGGAGTAACTTCCTAACAGTGAGGACAATTAACCAGTGGAACAGCTTGCCGTCAGAAGTTGTAGGTATTTCATCACTGGAGGTTTTTAAAAAGACTGGATAGCCACTTGTCTGGAATGGTATAGAGTCTCTTGCTTGACCCCCAAGGTCCCTTCTAGCTCTATTCTGATTGACTTTGAATGTGGGAAGGTCATAAATGGTGATCACGTGACCTCAGGACCCTGCAATCATTGTAAATACAAGCCAGATACCAAGCAGCCGAATTTTGATACTGCATTGTTTGTTAAGTGGGAGGATTGTTTCTAAGTTTTTCAGTGCCATTGTAACTTTGAACAGTCACTAAATGACCAGTTTTAAGTTGAGGACTACCTGTACTATAATTCCTTGCAAGGTTTTTTTTAAAAAATATTGATCAATACATTTAAAAGTAAAAGTATGTGTGTTTGTTGTCTATGTGTGCTATTGAGGTGGGAATACT